ATTTAATTTTTTGATCCCGATGTGATAAAATTTAATAAAAATTATATTTTGTTGGAACTCGTCACCTCGACGTGACAAGTTTAAATAAATAATATTTTTCATTAGAAATCATCACGTCGAGATGGTGAGTTCCATGAACCCTATAAAAAATATCTTAGATCTCAAAATAAATTTCTACTTACCCTATTGGGCCAAAAAACACATTTTTGTCCTAATATCGTATGCGGGCTAATTATTTAGCCCAATACGGCACCAATTTTTTTTTTAAATTTTAGGAACTACATCATTTGCTACAATGACTTAGAATTCATCACGTCGAGATGATTAATTCTAATAAAATTTATTTTTTTATTGGAACTTGTCACTCCGACGCGACAAAAACTAATGAAAAAATTATATTTTATTAGAACTCCTCACCTCGACGTAACGAGTTTGAATAAAAAATATATTATTTGAGCAAACTCGTCATGGTTACATGATAAGTTTTTTCTACACTGTAACATTTATCGTATATCCCAAATTAATTTTAGAAATAACTTAATGGATTAAATTTTTTTCCCTCGCCTGCTCTATTGGGCCAATTTTCCCAAAACATGTAATTTTGGGCCACGTTCATGATTCTGGGCTATCATATTACGAGCCCTTTAGAATATATCTTACTGGATAAGGATATGACCGTATCCAAGATGTTTTACAGCCAAAGGAAGGGTTTTAACTACAAATTTTCCTGCAAATTCCCATCAATTTTCCCTGGAAAAGGGGTACGGGAAAATGTCTTCTTTAGGCACTTCAAAGGGTGTTCTTGAAATAGCCAAATTTGGTCTCTATGTTACGATCCCCATCGTTCTTATGTACACTTTCGCCAACAACACTAAGAATCTCCAGAAATTCATGGGAAATGTAAGCTATCTTTTACCCCCTCCTCTTCATTGTATATAATACTATAATTAACCACTGTACTGTTATTATTTTTTTTAGATTTAGCTGCATGGGTTTTTGATATATTTTAATATTTGATTAGCTTGAATTTAGATCCAAGTTTTATATTTGTTTGAGTTTCCTGAAATTTGGGTGCGTGTGTGTGTGTTTTGTTGCTGTTGAACATGATGTGCTGTTCAATTATGCAATGTTTTAGGTTGTAGGTTGAGATTTGGAGGGGCCATGTTCTTTAAGTTCATGGATGGAATTCTTCTCTGGATTTGTGTGGGATGGTGGAGTTAAAATAAACGTTTATAGAGGTCAACACTAAAATCCGAGTTCGAGTTACATAGAAGTTCAGTCATGAGCTTGTATACAAGTGAAATGGTGAATTTAGAGACGTCGTTCCAAGATACGTAAGTTAATTTAATGGATGAAAGTAGATGTAAGTGAACTGATAGCTACACATGTTGGGAGAAGGCATTGTTCCGTTTTTGGCATGTTGTCAAGGCTTACGGCTTATTGCTATATCCAACTCGGACAGTGAATGGACCCTTAAAAAGATTATCCGGGCAAGCCCCTGTTACCCGTGTAGCTTTGAGGTGGTTTGCGCTTTCTCATGGAGTGGGAGACTTATATAAGGCACGATATGCCCACCTGTACATGAGCCATTTAGCCGTAGCATAAGAGTGTGAAATGAAAATCATTTAGTGCTCCATTATTGACACCAGATTTTCTTATTAAAGTTCAAAATTTTCATCTCGTCCAAAATATGGAAGAATTCTTGTTCATATACGATGCTTTCCCATAATGTCTTCTCGACCTTAAAACATATGCATGGATCCTCTTAACCCCGTCTTTTTCCATCATATATAAAATGTATTTTGCATTCCGTCTAGATACTAGTATAACTTCTACTCGACCTTAAAAGATATGCGTGGATTCTCTTAGCCCTGTTCTTTTTCATTTTATGTATAAAATGTATTTAGCATTCTGTATAGATATACGACTTCTAGTCGACCTTAAAAGATATGCATGTATTCTCTTAGCCCCGTTCTTTTTCATTATGCATGAAATGTCTTTTTCTATTTGATGATTGAATGCATAGCTTTACAAGGCCTTATAAATTTGGTACAGAAGTATTTCTTCGGGGAATTAAACTAACTAGAATGATCATTTCGATGCTTTTCAAGTGTTGCTTATATCTGCCTGTCTCAAAATATATGTGTATGTGTGTGTATGTATATATATTGTCGTAGATTATTTCTTATGGAGTCTAAATCATTGCTTTTTTTCCCCTTTGATGTGAAGCGATCCTATGTAGTGTATCCTCCAGAGGGACCAAGACCTCAATCACCTGAGGAGTTAAGAGAGATGGCTCGTGAGCTGGCTCAGAAGAAAAATATCCGTTGATGCTCTTTAGGGGTTGTAAGTGATCTATGTAACTTTTCCGATTGAACCTATTACTATTCTACGAGACTTATTTGTAAGTACCATAATAAAGTATCGCGTTTCTATGAATGGAAACAATATTTCTGGTTTGTATAAGTAACATTGTTGGTTAAAATTTATAGCTAAACTTGTTTTTCTTGGTGATCATGGAAGTTCACGATCTTTAATTGGTATAATGTTAGTTAAACATTTGTTTGCTCTTCCTACTAGACATTTCGATAAACCGGTTCCCTATATATGCTTTTGTGCACAATATGCTCTACTTTTGAAGCATTGCTGAATGGATTTGAAGGCAACAGTGAAGGCACATGATGGAATGACGGAGTTTCGGATCTCGTTAACATTCATGGTAGGCAGTAAAGAAACTTATGCTCGAGTTAGCTCGTTTTTTGCTATTATGTCTACCAATCCCCGGTTTATATACGATCCTGTTAAAGAGGAAGGGGAAGGAGGATCCTGTTAAAGAGGGAGGGGAAGGAGGAGGGAATATGGCAAATTGGCGTGTTTCAAGGCATGAACCTACAAGTCTATGTTATTTGAGGGTGACAACCCCAAACATTATAATACATGGAACTCGAAAAGTGGGATGTACCATAATGTGTTTTTCTTCTTCATCGTTGCGTCTTGAACAAGATCGGACTCATGATTGTTCCTCGTTTTACATTATAATACATCGAAGCTCGAAAAGTGGGATGTATTATAGAAACAGAAAGTTTAACACGTAAAACGTTTAGTGCAGCATTGAAAAAACGACCACAATCCAGAACTCGAAAAAACCCGAGTCCAAAAAAATCCAAACTTGGAAAAGCTCGAACCTGCCTGAGCAACGAGAAAATTTTTAGGACTCGGTACCCTATATGTTTCTTTTTGAGCAAAAGGTTGTAGCTTGTTGGGAGCCCCACGCCATTAATCAAATGTGTTGGATCTTAGATGATGAGCATATTCATGCTTTTTAGGTTTTCGAATACTTATAGAATACGATAATCATAATCGATATTATAATTCGAACTTAAAGTTTATTCGAGAAGAATCATAAATATTAAGATTCAAACTTTAAATCTATATGAAACCGACGCTTGCGAACTCGGGTTTACTCTTTAAAGGACCAAAATCATAATTACACTAATATTATATAACACAACATAGCTACCAGCCTCATGCAACATTGAAAGAGCCCTGAAAGGTATCAAGAAACAAGACCTGACAAGATTCCAGGATTTGAATCAAGGGACCCCCAAAGTTTTTTTATTTACATGTTTGAGTACAAAAACCTGTCTATTTTTATAGTTTGGTTGTTCTTATCTGTTTAGCAGTAAACAGATTCTTCCTGGGCAGCCATGCATATGGCTGCAGCTAGAGTTGAGACTTTAAAATGGGAATTGCAGCCTAAAACTCTTCTGTCAATTCTTTTGTTGGAAAGACAGAGTCCAGAACAAAGCACATGACATGTTTGATACTTGTTGTTCATGTGTATGTTGTTAAAGAACACAAGGTTGATGACATTTTGTTTTATCTTGATTCGTGACATGGATGGGTATTACGAATGCTCATCGAACACGTATCGGATATGAATACTTTACAACATACACATGAACAACAAGTATCAAACATGTCATGTGCTTTGTTATCAAATGACAAATTTGATAATATAAAATATGATAAATTTTTAGAATCCAAAAATGATAAATTTTCATTTAATTAAACAAATGGAAGGACTAAATTTGTTGTTTTAAGTTTGTATGGGCTAAAAATTGAATTATACCATTGATTTAAGGGGCTGTAAGCCCAATAATCAAAACTGAATTGCCAAAACATGGGATTTTTGGGGTTTTTTTTCTCTCAAGAAGGCAAAGAATTTAATTAATTAGCTCAAGTATATTGAAGTTCATTTAGGGATTTACGACATTCCTACAATGACTTGGAACTCACCGTTTTGAGGTGATAAGTTTCAATAAAAATATTTTTATTTAAATTTTTGATCCCGATGTGATAAAATTTAATAAAAATTATATTTTGTTGGAACTCGTCACCTCGACGTGATAAGTTTGAATAAATAATATTTTTTATTAGAAATTATCACGTTGAGATGGTGAGTTCCATGAACCCTATAAAAATTGTCGTAAATCCAAAAATAAATTTCTACTTACCCTATTGGACCAAAAAACACATTTTTGTCCTAATATCGTATGCGGGCTAATTATTTAGCCCAATACGGCAGTAATTTTTATTTATTTATTTTGAGAACTACATCATTTACTACAATGAATTGGAATTCATCACGTCGAGGTGATTAATTCTAATAAAATATTTTTTATTGGAACTTGTCACTCCGACGAGACAAAAACTAATGAAAAAATTATATATTATTAGACTCGTCACCTCGACGTGACGAGTTTAAATAAAAAATATATTATTTAGGCAAACTCGTCATGGTTACGTGATAATTTTTTTTCTCCACTGTAACATTTGTCGTATATCCAAATTAATTTTTTCCCTCGCCTGCTCTATTGGGCCACTTTTTCCCAAAACATGTAATTTTGTGCCACATTCATGATTCTGGGCTATCATATTATGAGCCCTTTAGCATATATCTTACTGGATAAGGATATGACCGTATCCAAGATGTTTTCCAGCCGCTGGAAGGGTTTTAACTACAATTTTTCCTGCAAATTCCCATCAATTTTCCCTGGAAAAGGGGTACGGGAAAATGTCTTCTTTAGGCACTTCAAAGGGTGTTCTTGAAATAGCCAAATTTGGTCTCTATGTTACGATCCCCATCGTTCTTATGTACACTTTCGCCAACAACACTAAGAATCTCCAGAAATTCATGGGAAATGTAAGCTATCTTTTACCCCCTCCTCTTCATTGTATATAATACTATAATTAACCACTGTACTGTTATTATTTTTTTTAGATTTAGCTGCATGGGTTTTTGATATATTTTAATATTTGATTAGCTTGAATTTAGATCCAAGTTTTATATTTGTTTGAGTTTCCTGAAATTTGGGTGCGTGTGTGTGTGTTTTGTTGCTGTTGAACATGATGTGCTGTTCAATTATGCAATGTTTTAGGTTGTAGGTTGAGATTTGGAGGGGCCATGTTCTTTAAGTTCATGGATGGAATTCTTCTCTGGATTTGTGTGGGATGGTGGAGTTAAAATAAACGTTTATAGAGGTCAACACTAAAATCCGAGTTCGAGTTACATAGAAGTTCAGTCATGAGCTTGTATACAAGTGAAATGGTGAATTTAGAGACGTCGTTCCAAGATACGTAAGTTAATTTAATGGATGAAAGTAGATGTAAGTGAACTGATAGCTACACATGTTGGGAGAAGGCATTGTTCCGTTTTTGGCATGTTGTCAAGGCTTACGGCTTATTGCTATATCCAACTCGGACAGTGAATGGACCCTTAAAAAGATTATCCGGGCAAGCCCCTGTTACCCGTGTAGCTTTGAGGTGGTTTGCGCTTTCTCATGGAGTGGGAGACTTATATAAGGCACGATATGCCCACCTGTACATGAGCCATTTAGCCGTAGCATAAGAGTGTGAAATGAAAATCATTTAGTGCTCCATTATTGACACCAGATTTTCTTATTAAAGTTCAAAATTTTCATCTCGTCCAAAATATGGAAGAATTCTTGTTCATATACGATGCTTTCCCATAATGTCTTCTCGACCTTAAAACATATGCATGGATCCTCTTAACCCCGTCTTTTTCCATCATATATAAAATGTATTTTGCATTCCGTCTAGATACTAGTATAACTTCTACTCGACCTTAAAAGATATGCGTGGATTCTCTTAGCCCTGTTCTTTTTCATTTTATGTATAAAATGTATTTAGCATTCTGTATAGATATACGACTTCTAGTCGACCTTAAAAGATATGCATGTATTCTCTTAGCCCCGTTCTTTTTCATTATGCATGAAATGTCTTTTTCTATTTGATGATTGAATGCATAGCTTTACAAGGCCTTATAAATTTGGTACAGAAGTATTTCTTCGGGGAATTAAACTAACTAGAATGATCATTTCGATGCTTTTCAAGTGTTGCTTATATCTGCCTGTCTCAAAATATATGTGTATGTGTGTGTATGTATATATATATTGTCGTAGATTATTTCTTATGGAGTCTAAATCATTGCTTTTTTTCCCCTTTGATGTGAAGCGATCCTATGTAGTGTATCCTCCAGAGGGACCAAGACCTCAATCACCTGAGGAGTTAAGAGAGATGGCTCGTGAGCTAGCTCAGAAGAAAATATCCGTTGATGCTCTTTAGGGGTTGTAAGTGATCTATGTAACTTTTCCGATTGAACCTATTACTATTCTACGAGACTTATTTGTAAGTATACCATAATAAAGTATCGCGTTTCTATGAATGGAAACAATATTTCTGGTTTGTATAAGTAACATTGTTGGTTAAAATTTATAGCTAAACTTGTTTTTCTTGGTGATCATGGAAGTTCACGATCTTTAATTGGTATAATGTTAGTTAAACATTTGTTTGCTCTTCCTACTAGACATTTCGATAAACCGGTTCCCTATATATGCTTTTGTGCACAATATGCTCTACTTTGAAGCATTGCTGAATGGATTTGAAGGCAACAGTGAAGGCACATGATGGAATGACGGAGTTTCGGATCTCGTTAACATTCATGGTAGGCAGTAAAGAAACTTATGCTCGAGTTAGCTCGTTTTTTGCTATTATGTCTACCAATCCCCGGTTTATATACGATCCTGTTAAAGAGGAAGGGGAAGGAGGATCCTGTTAAAGAGGGAGGGGAAGGAGGAGGGAATATGGCAAATTGGCGTGTTTCAAGGCATGAACCTACAAGTCTATGTTATTTGAGGGGTGACAACCCCAAACATTATAATACATGGAACTCGAAAAGTGGGATGTACCATAATGTGTTTTTCTTCTTCATCGTTGCGTCTTGAACAAGATCGGACTCATGATTGTTCCTCGTTTTACATTATAATACATCGAAGCTCGAAAAGTGGGATGTATTATAGAAACAGAAAGTTTAACACGTAAAACGTTTAGTGCAGCATTGAAAAAACGACCACAATCCAGAACTCGAAAAAACCCGAGTCCAAAAAATCCAAACTTGGAAAAGCTCGAACCTGCCTGAGCAACGAGAAAATTTTTAGGACTCGGTACCCTATATGTTTCTTTTTGAGCAAAAGGTTGTAGCTTGTTGGGAGCCCCACGCCATTAATCAAATGTGTTGGATCTTAGATGATGAGCATATTCATGCTTTTTAGGTTTTCGAATACTTATAGAATACGATAATCATAATCGATATTATAATTCGAACTTAAAGTTTATTCGAGAAGAATCATAAATATTAAGATTCAAACTTCAAATCTATATGAAACCGACGCTTGCGAACTCGGGTTTACTCTTTAAAGGACCAAATCATAATTACACTAATATTATATAACACAACATAGCTACCAGCCTCATGCAACATTGAAAGAGCCCTGAAAGGTATCAAGAAACAAGACCTGACAAGATTCCAGGATTTGAATCAAGGGACCCCCAAAGTTTTTTTATTTACATGTTTGAGTACAAAAACCTGTCTATTTTTATAGTTTGGTTGTTCTTATCTGTTTAGCAGTAAACAGATTCTTCCTGGGCAGCCATGCATATGGCTGCAGCTAGAGTTGAGACTTTAAAAATGGGAATTGCAGCCTAAAACTCTTCTGTCAATTCTTTTGTTGGAAAGACAGAGTCCAGAACAAAGCACATGACATGTTTGATACTTGTTGTTCATGTGTATGTTGTTAAAGAACACAAGGTTGATGACATTTTGTTTTATCTTGATTCGTGACATGGATGGGTATTACGAATGCTCATCGAACACGTATCGGATATGAATACTTTAACAACATACACATGAACAACAAGTATCAAACATGTCATGTGCTTTGTTATCAAATGACAAATTTGATAATATAAAATATGATAAATTTTTAGAATCCAAAAATGATAAATTTTCATTTAATTAAACAAATGGAAGGACTAAATTTGTTGTTTTAAGTTTGTATGGGCTAAAAATTGAATTATACCATTGATTTAAGGGGCTGTAAGCCCAATAATCAAAACTGAATTGCCAAAACATGGGATTTTTGGGGTTTTTTTTTCTCTCAAGAAGGCAAAGAATTTAATTAATTAGCTCAAGTATATTGAAGTTCATTTAGGGATTTACGACATTCCTACAATGACTTGGAACTCACCGTTTTGAGGTGATAAGTTTCAATAAAAATATTTTTATTTAAATTTTTGATCCCGATGTGATAAAATTTAATAAAAATTATATTTTGTTGGAACTCGTCACCTCGACGTGATAAGTTTGAATAAATAATTTTTTATTAGAAATTATCACGTTGAGATGGTGAGTTCCATGAACCCTATAAAATTGTCGTAAATCCAAAATAAATTTCTACTTACCCTATTGGACCAAAAAACACATTTTTGTCCTAATATCGTATGCGGGCTAATTATTTAGCCCAATACGGCAGTAATTTTTATTTATTTATTTTGAGAACTACATCATTTACTACAATGAATTGGAATTCATCACGTCGAGGTGATTAATTCTAATAAAATATATTTTTTATTGGAACTTGTCACTCCGACGAGACAAAAACTAATGAAAAAATTATATATTATTAGACTCGTCACCTCGACGTGACGAGTTTAAATAAAAAATATATTATTTAGGCAAACTCGTCATGGTTACGTGATAATTTTTTTTCTCCACTGTAACATTTGTCGTATATCCAAATTAATTTTTTCCCTCGCCTGCTCTATTGGGCCACTTTTTCCCAAAACATGTAATTTTGTGCCACATTCATGATTCTGGGCTATCATATTATGAGCCCTTTAGCATATATCTTACTGGATAAGGATATGACCGTATCCAAGATGTTTTCCAGCCGCTGGAAGGGTTTTAACTACAATTTTTCCTGCAAATTCCCATCAATTTTCCCTGGAAAAGGGGTACGGGAAAATGTCTTCTTTAGGCACTTCAAAGGGTGTTCTTGAAATAGCCAAATTTGGTCTCTATGTTACGATCCCCATCGTTCTTATGTACACTTTCGCCAACAACACTAAGAATCTCCAGAAATTCATGGGAAATGTAAGCTATCTTTTACCCCCTCTTCATTGTATATAATACTATAATTAACCACTGTACTGTTATTATTTTTTTTAGATTTAGCTGCATGGGTTTTTGATATTTTTTAATATTTGATTAGCTTGAATTTAGATCCAAGTTTTATATTTGTTTGAGTTTCCTGAAATTTGGGTGTGTGTGTGTGTTTTGTTGCTGTTGAACATGATGTGCTGTTCAATTATGCAATGTTTTAGGTTGTAGGTTGAGATTTGGAGGGGCCATGTTCTTTAAGTTCATGGATGGAATTCTTCTCTGGATTTGTGTGGGATGGTGGAGTTAAAATAAACGTTTATAGAGGTCAACACTAAAATCCGAGTTCGAGTTACATAGAAGTTCAGTCATGAGCTTGTATACAAGTGAAATGGTGAATTTAGAGACGTCGTTCCAAGATACGTAAGTTAATTTAATGGATGAAAGTAGATGTAAGTGAACTGATAGCTACACATGTTGGGAGAAGGCATTGTTCTGTTTTTGGCATGTTGTCAAGGCTTACGGCTTATTGCTATATCCAACTCGGACAGTGAATGGACCCTTAAAAAGATTATCCGGGCAAGCCCCTGTTACCCGTGTAGCTTTGAGGTGGTTTGCGCTTTCTCATGGAGTGGGAGACTTATATAAGGCACGATATGCCCACCTGTACATGAGCCATTTAGCCGTAGCATAATAGTGTGAAATGAAAATCATTTAGTGCTCCATTATTGACACCAGATTTTCTTATTAAAGTTCAAATTTTCATCTCGTCCAAAATATGGAAGAATTCTTGTTCATATACGATGCTTTCCCATAATGTCTTCTCGACCTTAAAACATATGCATGGATCCTCTTAACCCCGTCTTTTTCCATCATATATAAAATGTATTTGCATTCCGTCTAGATACTAGTATAACTTCTACTCGACCTTAAAGATATGCGTGGATTCTCTTAGCCCTGTTCTTTTTCATTTTATGTATAAAATGTATTTAGCATTCTGTATAGATATACGACTTCTAGTCGACCTTAAAAGATATGCATGTATTCTCTTAGCCCCGTTCTTTTTCATTATGCATGAAATGTCTTTTTCTATTTGATGATTGAATGCATAGCTTTACAAGGCCTTATAAATTTGGTACAGAAGTATTTCTTCGGGGAATTAAACTAACTAGAATGATCATTTCGATGCTTTTCAAGTGTTGCTTATATCTGCCTGTCTCAAAATATATGTGTATGTGTGTGTATGTATATATATATTGTCGTAGATTATTTCTTATGGAGTCTAAATCATTGCTTTTTTTCCCCTTTGATGTGAAGCGATCCTATGTAGTGTATCCTCCAGAGGGACCAAGACCTCAATCACCTGAGGAGTTAAGAGAGATGGCTCGTGAGCTAGCTCAGAAGAAAAATATCCGTTGATGCTCTTTAGGGGTTGTAAGTGATCTATGTAACTTTTCCGATTGAACCTATTACTATTCTACGAGACTTATTTGTAAGTATACCATAATAAAGTATCGCGTTTCTATGAATGGAAACAATATTTCTGGTTTGTATAAGTAACATTGTTGGTTAAAATTTATAGCTAAACTTGTTTTTCTTGGTGATCATGGAAGTTCACGATCTTTAATTGGTATAATGTTAGTTAAACATTTGTTTGCTCTTCCTACTAGACATTTCGATAAACCGGTTCCCTATATATGCTTTTGTGCACAATATGCTCTACTTTTGAAGCATTGCTGAATGGATTTGAAGGCAACAGTGAAGGCACATGATGGAATGACGGAGTTTCGGATCTCGTTAACATTCATGGTAGGCAGTAAAGAAACTTATGCTCGAGTTAGCTCGTTTTTTGCTATTATGTCTACCAATCCCCGGTTATATACGATCCTGTTAAAGAGGAAGGGGAAGGAGGATCCTGTTAAAGAGGGAGGGGAAGGAGGAGGGAATATGGCAAATTGGCGTGTTTCAAGGCATGAACCTACAAGTCTATGTTATTTGAGGGGTGACAACCCCAAACATTATAATACATGGAACTCGAAAAGTGGGATGTACCATAATGTGTTTTTCTTCTTCATCGTTGCGTCTTGAACAAGATCGGACTCATGATTGTTCCTCGTTTTACATTATAATACATCGAAGCTCGAAAAGTGGGATGTATTATAGAAACAGAAAGTTTAACACGTAAAACGTTTAGTGCAGCATTGAAAAAACGACCACAATCCAGA